TTCCCCACCTTTTTCACTTCCACCAAATATAGTTTGAACAGCACATCGTGAGATACAGCTACTTTCTTCATCTGAAGGTTATCGGATGATTCACATTAGTTTTCCGCAATTTGATAATCATTGCGGACCCTAAAGTTTATGTTGACAGTGGACAAACGTTTCCTCACAGATTGTTTAAATTATTGTGTGGTGATTTCATGACATTACTGTCTTAAGACTACTATCTTATGGTTGTGAATTAAACCTAATAGAATTAATTTTGGCACAAATGAAAGGATATGTAACATGTACATAATATGAAGCGCACCGATAACTTTACCTCATGGGTGGGAACAAGTCTTAAAATCAATGAAGAAACATCACATTACAATAGTAATGGGCGACTTCAATGTCAAAGTTGGCCAGGGAAGAGTGGATGGATATGTGGGGGAATATGGTCTAGGAAATAGAAATGAACGTGGTGACCGTTTGATACAATTTTGCCAGACGGAAGAATTTGTAACAGCTAATACACTTTTTAAGCTACCAAAAAGAAGATTGTATACATGGAAATCTCCCGGTGATACAACGAATAGAATAATCCGAAATTAAATTGACTTTGTCCTCATTAGACAAAGATTTCGTAATTTTATACTGTCTGCCAAAACTTACCCTGGAGCAGACATCGGTTCAGACCATAACCCCATAGTAGTCACATTACGAACCAAATTGAAACTGGTTAAAAAATCCACACAAAGTAGAATTGATATTAAGGGATTACGGGAACCACAAACAAAGGAACAAACTGTAAAATCTCTTACTGAAAATCTACGTAATGCCCAAGAACTGAATAAAACAAGATATAACATTGATCAGAAATGGGAAAATATAAAGGTAGCAATAATTAAAACAGCAAATCAAAACTTAAATCCAAAGAAAAGAAAACAAAGACTGGATGACTGAAGAAATACTACTATTAATGAATGAAAGAAAATCATTCAAAACAAAAAATCCAATTAAATATAATGAAACTGATCGATTAATTAAAAAGATAATAAAAGAAGCTAAGGAGAGAATGTTACATGAGCCGTGCCAAGAACTAGAAGAAATTGAGAAAAAAGATGACTTTTTTAACATGCATAAAAGAATTAGAGAATTAACAGGAATGAGAAACAGTTCAAACTAGGCAACTAAGAGATGCAAGTGGTGCACTTATAACAGATATAAACCAAAAAATGCAGAGATGGACAATATATAGCATAACTTTTTGAAGACAAAGAGAGAACAGAAGCACCAAAAGAATTTAAGGATGATACTGGCGACATTATACGAGAAGAAATTGAATATGCAATGAAACAAGCTAAAGGTGGTAAATCTCCCACGACTGGATGAAGTTCCTATCGAATTACTCAAAATAGTGAATACTGAATCCATTGATCTTCTTTTAGATCTATTCAATACCATATATAGAACAGGTATAATACCTAAAGAATAGCCTCAATCAACATTTATACTACTTCCCAAAAAGCCAATGCAAAGGAGTGCAATGAACATCGCACCATAGCCTTATTGAGTCATGCCTTGAAATTGTTTTTAAAAGTAATTCACAATAAAATACATAAGAAATTAGATGAAGGCATAAATAATACACAAATGGGATTTAGGAAAGGACTGGGAACACGAGGTGCACTGTTTGAAGTAAGTATTCTTTCACAGAAATGCTTAGATATAAATCAGGAAGTATATGCATGTTTCATTGATTAAAGCTTAAAGAAATTTTATTAAATAAAAACAGACAGTAGAGACATTAGAATCATATGTAACCTTTATTGGAACCAAACAGCAAAAGTGAAATTTGAAAATGAACTGACCGAGGAAATCCAGATTCGCCGTGGGGTCCGCCAAGGGTGTATTTTATCACCCTTGTTATTCAATTCAATACAGTGAAGCCATCTCAGAATTAGGGCTTGCCGAGGTCAGTGAGGGCCTTATAATAAACGGTAAGCCACTTAATAACATAAGATATGCTGACGACACCGTCCTTCTGGCAGGAACACTAGAAGAACTGCAACACCTTGCTGAACAACTAAATATATATTGCAACGATTATGGACTCAAAAAATAAATTTGAAGAAAACCAAGTTCAGGGTATTTATAAAATCTCAAAACATCAAAGTTAAGCTAGTACTAGATAATACAGAAATTGAACAAATATCTTCGTACAAATACCTTGGAGCATGGATCACAGAAGATACTGATCAGACAAAAGAAATAAGATGCCGCATTGAAATTGCAGGGTCAACTTTTAATAGAATGAGAAAAAATTTTTGTAATCGCGATATCAATAGATCGCTCTGGATAAGAAGGCTTCGATGTTATATTTTCTCTACCCTTTTGTATGGGGTCGAAGCTTGGACACTTAAAAAATCCAACATTAAATACCTAGAAGCATTTGAAATGTGGTGTTATCAACGTATTTTGAAAATGTCATGGATGGATCGCAAAACAAACGTTCTCGAAACAAACAACTAGAAAAACAATGCGAAGTTTTAAGTTCCATAAAAATCAGGAAATTGGAATACTTAGGGCACATCATGAGAAGTGAAAAATACGAACTACTAAGGAATATAATGCAGGGTAAAATCAAAGGCAGAAGAAGCGTAGGAAGATGTAAAATCTCGTGGTTACGCAATCTCCGTGAATGGTTTGGATGCAGTTCAATTGAACTATTCAGGCGCATAACAAACAAAATTATAATTGCGAGAATTATTTCCAATCTCCGATAGGAGCAGACTAGAGTGCAGGAGAGAACCAACAACTAGAGTGTAATTATTCTTCTTCTTCTTCTTAGTCGTTAACCTGATGCAGGTATCGTGATATCATGAAGCTGTTAGGTAATTTTTCCAATGTTCCTCCACGTTTTTCTATCTTCTGTATTTAGTGTAATTATTAGTAGCTGTCAATAAAACTATAATTTTTACTCCACACTTTAACCAATTATTTACCATCGTCGATCGAGAAGAATCGGATAAAGGGGCATTAGAAAACAATTCGATCCTGATATTTACATCGAAATTATCCAATGGCATTATTCTGTCTGTAGTAAATAACCTTTCTGCAGCCAAAGTAGTAGACTGCCGTTGTCACCGTATCGAGCTCATTAAGATTATTGTAATACATAATACAAATAATAAATAGACAAATTCAACAAATAAAAAACTTTTTTTAGTTGCAATTTAATCAGGTCATAAGCCTGACATGGGCAGCATTTGGCAAATTAAGCCATATTCTAAAAAGTTCAATTCCCATGTGTCTTAAGTGAAAGGTTTATAACCATGTGTTTTACCTGTACAAACTTATGGAGCAAAGACTCTAACACTCACGCAAAAATCTGCGAATAAACTCGAGTTTACATTGAGTTACACAACGAGCCATGAAACGTGCAATGATGAACGTGAGCCTTCGAGATCACATAACAAATCAGGCAAAGATCACGAGTTCAAGAGGTCATCGAAAGAACCACGACGCTTAAGTGGAACTGGGCAGGGCGCTTAACCAGAACACAAGATGGACAAGACGTATAATGGAATGGAGGCCCAGAAACTATAAAAGAAGCCGAGGACGACCACCGACTAGATGGACCGATGATATAAAACATGTAACGGAACACTGGCTACAAGCGGCCCAGTGTAGAGAACGCTAGAAAGAACTGAGGGAGGCCTATGTCCAGCAGTGGACGCGATTGGCTGATGATGATGAACAATTTATTTACCAAATTATGTTGTAAAATGAATGTTAAAAAGCTGCTTGATGAAAGCTTAAAAGCTTGAAACAATACCACCGTGGGATGTCTGTCCAATGACAAAGTTTTTGTCATTACTGGAACATTTCTAGGTTTTGTATCGACTGAACGAACGAACGACCGATCCTGTAATTTTGTATCTTCTGACTATATTTCTTATACTATAGCGTGATATGCAACATATTCGCGATTTCTGAATTGAAGTTTCCAGAATTAAAAAATCTAATAATGATGGAACAAATTCTCATCGATTATTTTCCCTCGACCCATTGTACAATCCAAGAACGGCAAAAAGCTTTACAATACTACAAAATAAATTTGACATTAACTGACATTATTGTTTTGATGTCATTTTTTTATAGCTACCTCTGGGCTTAATGTAATTATGAAAAAATCAACTTATGTTGACATAAGTGATGCATAGCCAGGGTTTAGTAAATTTTTTTTATTGTTGAAAATGAATAAAAAACCATAAGGGTAATATTTTAAATAAATATTAATAAAAATGCCATATTAATTAATATGAGTACTTATAAAAACACGCAGAGTATAATTCGTTTAGAGTAATCGACTTAAACTGCAAATTCCATAGGTGGGCGAACTGATAAGGGAAGGGGCTCTTAGTTAGTCATTGCTTGTTAATGCATTTATGCACATAAGTATATACGCAGTAATTAATTAAATAGAAACCTTCACTCTTGAGAGAAAATGAAGAAGAAAAGTTCCTAAAAGGCATTTAACTCATCTAGACCGAAGTGTAATATTAATATTAAAGTGTAATATTTTTCCGCCGAAAAAATAGTGACCTCTAGCCGGCGTAAATGTAAAGTCTTAATGAGATCATAGAGATTTCGAATTCTAAGTTATTTAATAGAACTCTTTTTGTTCTACCAAAAATTTTACGCTTATCGTGGACAGAATACAGAACCAACCTGTCAATGCTGGAAGAGCTCAATATAAAAGACAGGCTATTTAAAAAAGTGAACCGAGCATACTTTACTCCGGCCACATAGCCAGAAGAACGGGGGCTATGGAACTATTGGTAATGGATGGCAAGAGGAAGAGGAACATGATGGGTAGACCAAATGAAACTCTGGTGAGAAAATCCCTATATGAAGTCGTCCATCTGTAACAGGATCGCAGTTAACAATATTTAGGGTGTCACCTATTCCTGATAAGGACTCAAGGAATCAGGAAGATTTGTCAAAAAAACACAGATAATAAAGAATCAGTTTAATGACAACTGAAATAAAAATGTTTTTCATTTTTCTTTATAATATAATTTTACTTTTTAAAGTATCTTAATAAACTCAACAAGTTCCAAAAATTAATATTTTTTCTACGTAATTCGAAGTAAAACTGTTTATTGAAGACGTAATCTTTGAAAGTTGATTGGACGTTTCTGGAACAAACATTTAAATTAGACACAGAATACTTACAATAAGATATAAATAAAAAGAAACAAATATAAATAATTTTAATATACACACAATTGTATCTATACATGTCAATTATGCATACATATGCATAATAGGTCAGTGAATAAGTCCCGGACCTAACCATGAGATGGCGACTCTAATAAATTTTTCATTTGACATTTCGGTAGTCCTAACATTTAAAAGCGTACTGTCAAAATATTCATGTCATTCAAAGTATTATCTACCGAGTTACAGTGTTTGAACCTTAGACAAGGAGAGTGAGGGGACGCGTAAGGGTATGGAATTGACTGAAGCCAAACCGGCACCAGAAAGGTTGTCAGGTCATATTTTATTTCATTGACATAATGATCACTTTTTGAACATGATTTTATCATTACAAATTTTTTAGTAGATCGATATAGTTGTTCAGTAAATTAGTAAATTAAAATTGAAATCAATAGATCTACTGAGAAATCAGTAGACCTGATATCCCTGCGAGAGGTAGTAATGGGCAACGTATAGGCACCAAAACATGGCGTTCACAACGAAATTGGTTTCACTTTGCGAAGGTTTGTTAAATGAGTGTTATCTGTCCTCTCTCTTTCCTTGTCTAAGGTTTGAACTGACGCTACTTTTATGATTTTTATAAACAATAGATTCAAAGCAATTTCATGTGCTAATTTGTCACTGTTATTTGATGGAAAAAATACCGCCCGAACTCGGCAGTGCCTTAAAAAGTGTTACCAGAACTCTGCTCTATTAATTACAACCATTAAACGATGGTGGTTGAGCGCTCCGGAAGGCCAAATGATGCAGTTATTCCCGAAAACTTAGAACACACGCTGAAAATTATTATGGAAAACCTTAAAGTTAAGTTGCAAGAGATAGCTGGTACTGTAAGGTTATCAAAGGGTAGCATTTTGATTATTATACATGAAGATTTTCATAAGAGAAAGTTGTTAATATTGTTAATAATATTAGATCGTCTAACTAGAAAAAACTTCCTTGTAATAAAATAATGACTGTGACTTATTGTTATTTTATTTCCATCAAAATTTACATATATACTTGTCTAAACTACAAAACTTAACTCATTAACTTATTTACAACATAGGATGATAAATTACGTAGATGCCTTCTTCATTCTGCTTTAACACCTTCCCTCATTGAGTAATTTTCCAACCCGATTTCAAAAAGTAATTTTTTCATTCTATTTGAAAACAGCGGCTTCGTCAAAACATCCGCTAACTGATTTTCAGATGACACCTTTACTACTTCAAGTGATCCATCCAATACCATTTCTCTAACAAAAAAATGTCTAATATGTATATGTTTAGTCCGGCGATGAAACTCGGGATTCGGCGTTAATCGTATGGCTGATTCATTGTCGACATGTAGTGTCGGAACCAAGCTAACGCCGGTTAATTCCGTAAATATTCTTTTTAACCAAACTATTTCTCGTGCAGCGTCACTTGCAGCTACTATTTCTGCCTCTGTTGTCGATATGGCGACTGATGTTTGTCTCTGACTAAACCAAGATACAGCTGCTCCAGCATAAAGACACAATACCCCAGATGTCGATCTTCCTGTTGTTATATCACCTCCATGATCAGCATCACTATAGCTTGTTAACTTAGGTTGTATATCTGGCTTTCGCATATAAGTTAAGCCATAATTTATTGTCCCATTCAAATAGCGGAATATTCTCTTAACTTTTACATAGTCGTTTGGACTTGTATTTTCTGATTTCCTGGATACAACACTAACAGCATAAGCTATATCTGGACGTGTACCCGTCATTAGGTACATAAGAGCACCCACAGCTTCGCGATATGGAAAACAAGTATTCGATTCTATTTCACTAGTTTCCTTCCCTAATTGGATAGCTTCTTTTACAATCGGGGTCGAGACCGGTCTGCTATTTTCCATGCCAAAACGTTCTAGCACCTTTCTTGTATAAGCTGACTGGGTAATACTTATGGAGTCGTCTTGATTTCTTTCGATTTCCAAATCTAAGAAATATGTAGCTGGTTTAACTGTTATTTTAAACTTCTCCTGAAGCTTTTTCAAAAAATTCATCTTCATTATTTCATTTGTACATGCTATTAGACCATCGTCAACATACAGCACTAATATTAACATGTCTTTTCCTTCGATTTTAATAAATAAACATGGATCTGCAGTACTTCGTTTAAAGCCAAGCGAATCTATAAAGTTTCCAAAACGCTTATTCCAACACCTTGGTGCCTGTTTTATTCCATATAAACTTCTCTGGAGATGACAAACCATACCACTACCATCATCATAGCCTTCTGGTTGTTTCATGTATACTTCTTCGTCTAGAGTACCGTACAGAAATGCAGTACAGACATCGAATTGTGTAAGTGACATGTTTTTACTAGCAGCTATACTTATAATGGCTCTTATCGTACCACCTTTAGCTACTGGACTGAACGTTTGTTCATAATCTTCACCTTTTCTTTGTGAATAACCCTTCACTACCAAATGAGCTTTGTATTTATCAATTGAACCATCTGGATTGGTTTTGAGTTTATACACCCATTTACAGGAAATTGCTTTTTTATTTTCAGGTAAATTTTTCAAAATCCATGTACAATTCTCTTTTAATGACTGCATTTCATGCTCCATTGCCAGCCTCCAGTTATCTTTTTCACAACAAACAATTGCTTCTTTGTAACTAAGTGGTTCTTTGGTGTCGTTTATTTCAGCAGCAACCATCATAACGAACTCGTCAAAGCGTGTTGGCTTCTTAATGTTTGATCTTTCTCTCAGTTGTCTTCTAAATTCTATATCTTCTTCTAAGCTTTCTTCTGGTTCACAACATTGGTTTTCTTCTTGGTCATATGGGTCCATTTCTTCCATACTATCACTAATTTCATTGACAATATCTATTTCTTCTGTATCAGAATTATTTTGAACAAAATCCAATACATCTACTGTAGGTTGCAAACTTTGAAACTGTTTGGATTCTTTTAGCACACCGAGAGTTTCAAATTCATTAAAAATAACATCTCGTGAAAGTATTAGTCTATGCTGTTCTTCTGACCAAATCCTATATCCATCATCATTTTCATAACCCACGAGTATACCTTTAATAGATTTCTTATCCAATTTTTTCCTGCAAACTTTAGGAACGTGAGCATAACAAGTACTGCCGATTATTCTTAAATATTTAAGTTCAGGCTTCTTGTTAAACCATATTTCATGTGGTGATTTATCAGGAATACTGGACATACCAGATCTGTTTAAGATATATGTAGCTGTGTTTACTAATTCAGCCCAAAATGTTTGATCAAAGATACCTTCTCTTGCATGCATTAAAGATCTTGCGCATTCGACAATCGTTCTGTTATCACGTTCTGAACAGCCATTTTGTTGTGGTGTGTACGGCATCACCAATCTTTGTTTTATTCCATATTTGTTTAAAATATTTGCTACTCGATGATTATCAAATTCTCCACCATGATCTGACAGAAATTCTTTCACACTATATCCTGCAGCTTTTATTTCTTTTAAAACAATATCTAATTTATCAGCAACTTCTGACTTTTGCTTTAAAAAATATACAAATCGGTATCTGCTAAAATCATCTTTAAATAAAACATAATATTTAAAACCGGATTTTGATACCTTGAAAGGCCCACAAACATCCGAATGGATCAGTTCTCCTGGAGTTTCTGCTCTTTTTCTTATGCCAAACTTTTTCACGGAAGCTTTTCCATAAACGCAGCCCTCACATAATTCACTATCCAGCTTCACATCTATGTTAAATTCTTGTTTAATTACATCTTTAACATGTCTTTTGCTTTGATGACCCAGCCTTTCGTGGTAAAGTTGCAATATATTTTCTTTAGAAGTAACCATACTGACACTCACATTTTCAGGTTTGATTGCCTGTATCTTCAGTTTATATAGTCCACCAGACTTACATCTAGATCCAACAATAATTGTTTCTTTATAAATATTAAAATAGCAGCACTCAGTGGTGGAAATAAATTCACTTTCTGGATGTTTGTCCTGAGCAGACAAAGTTGAGAAAAGATTTTTCTGATATTGGGAACATACCATACGTTGGTCAATAAAAACTCTTTCTTCTTTCCTTTTACAAAAGATTGTATTTTGATGGTACCCTGTCCTAATGCCGCAACTGCATATCCATTAGCTGTTGTTATTGTTTGCTCTTCGCTAAACGGTTCATACGATTGGAATACACTTTGTTGATTTGTTATGTGATTAGTCGCTCCATTATCAACATACCAATTTTTAAAATCTGCTTGACAATTCAACACATTCGATGATACAGCCACTAAGGACATCTGAGTTTCTTTAGCTTTAGTATTTGTATGTTTTTTCGAATTTTGTGGTTTAGGAGGCCTTCCATCGGCTTTCCATTTATCGCATTGCTTCACTTTATGACCTTTTTGCTTACAGTAATTGCAATAATAACTATATTTATGTGCTTTACTCTTATTCACTGTATATACTTCTTGCTTGCTCTCATTTTTATTTGTTAATGCTTTTTCATAAGAGCATAGCTGATTTGTCAAGTTATCTATTGTTCTGTCTTTATTTGATACCAGAATCCAACTAGACTTAAATGAGAAATATTCAGGTGGTAGAGTTTCTAATATTTTACAAATAAGCAAAATATCTGGCAAGTCGCACTTACAATTATTTCCAGCAACTGCTTTATCTTTGAAAATTTCGCTTTGCAAATTGTTCCAAAGGTTTTTAAGTTTTGATGAATGAGTAGCAATATCGTCATCTGATTGTCTAGTATAACTAAAAAATTGCATACAGATATCATAGGTTTTATCTGTTGCATTACATCATACAAACGATGCAGCTCCAACCAAACTTCCCTAGCGGTCGAAAATCTCATGACTTTTTCTAATGTGCTTTGAGTAATATTTATTGTAAGAACTAATAAGACAGTACTATCTGTTTGATTAAAAAATGCAAC